TAAAAAGAAATTCAAAAAAATTCTGATAAAAAAAAAGTACTTTGGTGACCCATGCTCTAATTAGAGTTCCTATACAGAGAGAGTTGCGACATGAGCCGCTAGTTAGTGCATGGGGGAATTAGTTTCCTCCATGGGTGCTTTTATGCATGAATGAACACAACGCCTATACTACAGTGTGGCAATTGCATAAATAACAGGCAATTGGAAAAAATAAAAATATTAAGAAAATGTTATGTCATTTGATAGTAATTATCTGTTAATTAAGGCGCGTTTGAAGGTTATACCAACATTTTTAAATGAAATTGATTCTCAATAGACTATTATAATTTATCATATTACATGTAGTTTTTGCTTGACCAAAAAAAGGGTAGTGCCTTAGCTAGCCGTACATCATCGCGTTTGTAGTAGTCCGGGTGCCAAATGTCAATTTTTCGGTTAGGCGTGCAAAATTTGGTGCATAATTGTTTTCAATGGATTTTGCCTCTACAGGTGGTCTAGATTGATATTGTTTTTGTCTCTATACTACTATTTTGAGAGGTCAAGCAAAATAGTGGCAACACTAATATTAAAATGCAAAAAAATCAAGATGGCTGCCTCTAAAAGACTTAATCTATTATCTTGGCAACTGAAATTCGTAGAGACTTAATGAGCAATCGTCGACTTCGACTACATGATTAACAACATTTATAAATGAGTGTGTAAAAGAAATAATTGTAGTTAATATAGTACCAAAAATGATAAGAAAGATACAAAACACGTCCTATAAAACAAAGAAAGATCAGAATTGGTCATAATTTAAAGATGAATTCTCACTAAAATTCAATAAATGGGACCCCCTCATGGGGCCAATGACTTATGGGACTCTTGGAAATCAATTGTTATTAATACTGCAACTAGCAAAATAATTGGTATTAAAAAACGGAAAGGTCAGAAAAAACCTTAGTGGGATCTTGATCTTGATAAACTGATCAAAGAAAGAAGAATGGATGGTAGAAGACACAGAAAATATGTAAAAAAATATTTAAAAAATAAATAAAATAAAATAAAATAAATAATAATAATAATAATAATAATAATAATAATAATAATAATAATTACCTAGTTTACTTTGTTTTTGTTTATTTTGTTAATGGTTTATTATTATTATTATTATTATACTATATTACATTATATCATATAAATATATATGTATGTACATTAGGCTTATATATTATCTTATAACTTTTATTGCCATTATATTAATGTGTATCATAGGCTATCGCTTCCACTTCTCGATATCTAAGTAGTTTGTTTTACTCATCTCGCTCCAATTATATATCATTATCCCCATGTCTGCAATATTGTTTATCTCACTTAATCACCCTCGTTTATTTATTTCCGACTGTTTATTGTTTTACATTGGATCTGGTATTTGCCAACTTTTGTAATCAGTTACGCTGATGAAGTCTTGAGGACAAGACGAAATATTCGTTTCCTGAATAAATTATATTGTGGTCTACTGTCTAACTCAACGTTTCCGCATCATTATTTTCTGGTCTTATTTTCTGTTTTATTATTTGAACACACGTGGACTAATATGACTATATATATATATATAAGATGTGTATAAGAGACAGATATATATTT